AAAGGAACCTGTGGCTGTAATTATAATAAGAAAAGTAACGATTGCTATTTGAGCATCTGTTCCGAGCTGGGGGGCGGTGGGGGTGGGGTGGGGGCGTGGAGATACAGTCTGTGTGAGGAGCAGCCAGGTGCTGAGAGCTCAGTGAGGTGAGGGGCTGAGCTGCCTCCACCCCATAGCTCTTCCTGCACTCGCCCACACCATGTTTCTTCAGAAACCTTCCCCTGCTCCCTGGCCCCTTGAGGCTGGGACAGTTTGTGAGGACTGTTACTAGAGCAGAGGCTGTCTGTCCTAGGCACATGTTTCCTGACTCACTGTCATCTGGGCTTGTCAGGCTGCAAAGAGCCAGACCAGGTGCCGTCCACTTGCTGTCAGAGTAGTACTGTTTTCAACAGCAGGTTTGTAGACCTGTCTTCCGAGGCACCGCGGGGTGGACTCGAACCTCCAACCTCTGGGTTAGTAGCTGTGCACGTCAACTGTTTTTAGGACCCGACACTAGCGTAATGTGGCAGATCAGGAGGCAGCCAGAGCACAGTGACCAGGGACTTACAGCTTTGTCATGTGAATAATGGATGAGTGGACCAAGATGGTCCTTTCCTTGACCACTGGACCAACCTAGGATATCCAGAAAGCCCCAAGTCACTCTCCAGGGGAGCAAGTGGGGTACCACTCAAAACATGGACGGATTGTCTATAGCAGAGTTGAGGGATGCTGTTGAGTTGGTTCCAATTTACAGAAACCCTGTGTAGGATTTCTAAGGGGCAGCTGGTGCATTCGAACTGCTGACCTTGAAGTTCAAACCGACCTTTTGGTCTGGTGCATTATCCTATAATGCCCAAGAAACATTTGGTCTGGCCCTGCCAAGACAATCACAGTTCCAGACATCACAATATAACAGGTTAATTTTTAAGATGATAATTTTGTATGGTCTGCAAATGATGTTATAAATATCCAAATGGCCCTGAGCAGAAAAAAAGTTCCCCATCTCTGGTCTATAGTCCCAGCATTTAACAACAGAACGGTTGGTTATGGAGAGTGTAAATTTCCTGTCACTCCGAAGTAGACAGTGTCTACTTGTCCGGGCTGCATTGGAGGGTTGTGGATTGAAGCATGTCTCCCCAAAATATGTGTTGTGGGTCCTAACCCTTACACTTATGGTTGTAATCCCATTCGTGAGTAGAGATTTGTTATGTTAATGAAGGTGTTTCTGACATGGGACACATGAAGATGGAACAAGGAACTGAGCTGAAATGAGACAGGGACCAGAACCACAGAGAGATGGTCTCTCCCTAGAGCCCAGGCCTGGATGTCACTGATAGTGACTACCACATAGGCTCAAACACAGGAATGACTGTGAGGATGGTGCAGAACCAGGAAGGATTTCCTTCTGTTGCACACACAGTCCCTACGAGTCAGAGTCAGCGCTCTTAACAGCAACAAGCTTCCCAAACTGTGAGAAAATCCATTTCTGGTTTTCAAAGCCACCCTCACGGGGTGATTTGTTACAGCAGCACTGGAGATCTAAGAGAAGCTTTCTTTATTGGACATAGGATTGGATTAGATCTCTCTAGGGTTCTTTTCAACCCTGACATGCATTAGGCACCTACTGTGTGCCAGGTTCTGGAAACATGGCTTAGAATGAGACTTTTTCCTGCCCTGATGGATCCGCCATGGTGTCAGTTAGATCTTTGAAGGAGCTGATGCCAAGAGCAGATTCGAGCTTAAGGGACTTATTGGGGGAAAGCCAGTCAAGGCTGGAGGTGGGGGGAGCAGGAACAAGCATGGAGCCTCAGTCCACGCTGTAAGTCGATGGTTCTTCCTGCTGTCCACTGCCACCACGTGGGCGTCTGCTCATCGTGACCATACAGGGGATACCTTGTCTGGTCCTGCGCTGTCCTCACACCAGTGGGTGTGTTTAAGTTCAGTGTGGAGGCTAGGGTGTCACCACCACCCCCTTTTATATTTATGCTGACCCTCTACTTTATCAAGCACTATGTCCTTCTCCAAAAGTTAGTCCTTCCTCATGATGTGTCCACAGTACGTGAAACAAAGTCTCCCCATTGTCATTTCTGAGCATACTTGCTATGATGGATCCAGGTCTGACCCCTATGAAAGAAGTGGGGAGAGAAAGACTTGAGTAGGAAGCATCGCAGACCCAGTGCCCGTCCTAGGAGTCCCAGAGCAGAGGTGTCCCCATGAAAGGCCAGTCCTAGCACCCTGCCATCTTCAGTCATAGGCTTGAGCAGCCTGAGCAAACTGGGACCATAGGGCCCCGCAAAGATCTTGAAGGAGGTCTAAGGGGCCCCTTCCTGGCCCCGCACAGGAACCTCAGAAAGCACAGTCCTACCACACTGCCCCTTCCTAAATGTGCCTTCCCAGAGCTGGTCACATGCCAGCAAGCTGTGGAGCTGGGGTTTCAACTCTGATCCCTCTGACTAAATACAGGGCCCACTTGATTTTCTGGTACCATGCCGCATCTCACACAAAATTAAACCCAGAACCCAATCTGTGGTGACTTGCATTGGGACAGAACTATGACTTGACCCAAGTTCTATCTGATGGACAGTTCACTCTACTTTCTAATGAGACCAGGACGCGATATTTAGTGAAGACAGGAGCATCTGCTCCTAAGCATAGTCCCTTAAAAGATACATTGCTTCAGCCCCAGAAACACAGACAAGAAGAAGCTTACTGCTTCTTTTTAAAGTGGTTCTTAGTTTCTCCCTGGCAGCACAATGTGGTTGTCATCTCAGAACCCGGCCTGCCTAGCTCACCGTTGATTTCCCTTCAGTGTTTATTGACCGAGTGGTGAATTATGGGGAAAGATGCAATACCCACGTAGAACACAATATCCTTCTAATCTGCTCTTATACATCACAGACATTCCCAGAGCCCTCCATACCAGGCCTGGGGAACCAATGACAATATACCCTAGACTCCTAAGCCCCAGGCCAGAGTGAGGGCTCAGCGTAAGAATGAAGCCCAGCATGTAGGCAGTGGAGCCGGGTTGAGACGCAGCGCTGACTCTTTACGAGTAGGAATGTTCTTACAGTGAACATACGTGTGGGTGACTCTCCACATGCCCCGTGCACAGAACTTGTCAAGGTTATAACCTGTGCTCCCAATTTATGACATAACTCGAGTTACAACGAATCACACATACAACTTTCCTTTTTTGTTTTGTTTTTTTGTACATACTGTGTGGCGCTATGGGATAATGCCTTGGACCGAAAGGTTGCTTTGAACCACAAGGTCGGTGGTTCCGATTCACCAGCCACTCCTTGGACACCCTATACAGGGTCGCTGTGAGTTGGAACTGACTCGATGGCATTTAACAACAATGCTACACACAGTGTTGCTGACGTTACCACATCTGTAAGTTCACGTGTAGTTGGTTCTAACCTTCAAACACAGATTGGATTTATAAAGATACTGATAATGAAACGCAATAATAATGAAATTCAAAAGGAAGATTCTAGTTACATCAGAGCAGACTTAACATCAAAGTCATCAGAACAGGATTCCATCGTGAGTCGGGGACCAGCTGTGATGTCCTCAGTGGCTCGTCCACACTCCGACTAGTAGGGTATTGGATTCTGAGGAAGCACAGCCTCCCCGACACTAGGGACCAGTTACTTGGGCCAGATTGAGCCTTTTAAGTCACTGAGCCTAATTCTGTTAAGAACCTCTATGATATGGCCCAGCAACTACACAAGGGGATGGAGATAGGGGTCTTTATCAAATGTTTTGTTCCGTGACTTCTTAAATATGGGTTTCCTTAACTGCTCAGTCGTGCCATCATGACGGTCCGTATTATGTAGTAATGACCATAGGACCTACTTGCTTTTTATAAACTCACTGACCTCAAATTGTTGGACTTTAAGAATGTTTCCAGTTTTTCTTCTGTTTATAAGCCCTCCTTTTCTGATCACTGCCTTGTCTTACTGGTGGTGGTGGTTGTTGTCAAGTGCCGTTGAGTCGATTCCGACCCATAGCGACCCTGTTTAGGGTTTCCAAGGAGCAGTTGGTGAGCTTGAACCGCCAACCTTGCAGTTCAAACGGCTTTGCAGTTGTGGCGCATTAACCCACAGCGCCACTAGGTGCCTGCTTTTAGCAGCCACATCCTCTGTAGATTTGTGGGTTCTGGCATGCTGGAGACTGAGAACGTGGTTGGTTTTGAAGACTGCTAGACTCAGATGTAAGTCACAAGCGTGGAGCTCTGCATGGCTCCTCTGCACGCACGCACACAGACGGTTAGTACTGCACTGGTTTTAATGAGGACAACTTGCTCCCTCCAGGGGCCCCATTCCTGGGCTTCTGTGGTATTCTAAACAGATGGGCTCCCTGTGTCATGTCTCCGCAAAGTAAGATGTGATTGTCTTTGTACTCGGGTTTCAGAAGACCGAAATGCTCACCTATCATGATGTCGTAATTGGGGCATTTTGTGGGGTGTTACAGAGACTGTTAGCCATGTCATATCCACTAGCTACAAGCAGAACTGGTGGAAAATCTCAAATTTCACTAGTGAACACCTATGAGAACTTTCAGAAATTGTCTCAGCTCCACTTTTCTCATCTATAGAATGGGGATAGTAAATAGTTACCGTCCGTGGTGGTGGTGGTGATGTGCCGTGAACGTTGGTAAATCTCTTCCGCGGATCCACTGGTAGTTCTGTGAACTGCTGACCTCGAGACTCACTAGCATGACGGTACCAGAGTACCTGGTCTAATTTCATGTGGTGCCTAGAAGACCAAAGACAGTGAACAGATTGTCATAGTAAACGCTTCCCATCTCCTTCCCTGTTCCCTGAAAGCAAACCTGTGAGTCACCCCAAGATGCAGAGAGTTCTGGCACAGAGCCTCCGCTCCAACCCCCGGGATAGCATCCAACAATTAGGATGTTTCCTTAGGTCAGGTAGCTGTTGGCCAGTTTCCGAAGCGGGCACAGCTGGCTTCCGTTCCTTGTAGCAGAGCCTGATGATTCCGGTTTCCCTTTTTCTGCAGTGAACAGAGTATCTGCCAAGCTCGGGCGTCTGTGATGGTCTATGATGATACCAGTAAGAAATGGATACCAATCAAACCTGGCCAGCAGGGATTCAGCCGCATCAACATCTACCACAACACTGCCAGCAACACCTTCAGAGTCGTGGGAGTCAAGCTGCAAGACCAGCAGGTGAGTATGGAGGGCCATGTAACACACACACTCACCCACAGAGGGAGCAGGGGGCAACAACGCACCAGCTCGGGTTTTGGAGTCACAGCGTTGAGGTCAAGGTCTGCCCCTCCTCTTTAGTGGTGGTCCGGTAAGGCAGCACTCGCACCCTGCCCACCCCACAGGGTTACTGTTGACTCAAGTGAGATGACAGATGAGCAAGAGCTTTGAGAAATGTCACCGGTTGGACCCGTATGTTCGTCTCCTGCTAAATCTCCACGTGTAGTACGGCTGCTACCATCTTTGGTCCATCAGTCCCCTAAGACATACTTTGGAAGGAGTGTCAATATGATTTGAGGAACCAGGAAGCCCCTCTCTTCCTAATCGTACATGCTGGACCAATCAGATAACATTGTGCTTATGAGTATGCCTGTCCTGAGACCGAGTGCGGTGGTGTTAAACGGACTGAAATAGGGACGAGGAGAAAGGGTCGCCCAGCTTAACCACAGTGACCTTGGTGAGCTCTTCAGCAGTCTTCCTCCACCTCTCTTCTTAGAGATTGGCCGAGACATTTTTAGCCATGAAGTTCGCAGATGTGTGGTTTCGACATTTATGAAAACTCTCCTGAGACATCAGCTTCTGGTAGCCATTGTTGGTGAAGCTTTGGTTAAGTTGGACAGCGGATGAGCTGATGTTTCTGCATGTTCAACATATTAGCAATCAGAAAAGCGAACCCAAATTTGGGGTTCTGTATTTTGTTGTGTTGTTGCCTGTTGAATGGCTAACTGCCATTCCCACTTCAGGACCCTTGTTGTTGTTGTCAGGTGCCATCGAGTCGGAACCGACTCATAGCGACCCCATGCACAGCAGAACGAAACAATGTTCGATCCTGGGCCAACCT